AACATTCTGAATCACTGATTGTCTATCCCAAGACAAATATTTCTACACGCAATATTATTGTAAATCCCTTGTAAATGTATATAAGAAATTCCTTAAAATAAACTCTATGAGGCAATACCCAAGTACACGATGTTTCTTCTTGAAACTAGTTTATAAATCCACAACACAAATTTGAGCAATCTTTGCACACAATTATCCAAACTTGGCAAATATCTTCCCTTGAAGACCAAATAAGTAAACACGAATTACTTCGTTATATTAATCAATATTCCAAATTAATAACGTATTCCAATACAAAGTCAAAGATCAAGTTTCTTAAACCAGGTACATATTATAAATATGTGATATATCCACAATGTAATGTTTACACACAATAGCCAATAAGCCCACAATTCCAAACCGTGGTTCCCGTATTTCTCGATTAAATACAACCAAATTTCAGACCAATTCGTCTGTAAACAATAAGGTACCTTCTTCCAAATCCGGAATGACACAATATCCAAACAATAATTATCTCCTTCCTGAAGACCAATCGTCGTTAACACAATTACACGCAGATTCCAAAAGGTTCTTAACTGTTACTGTCTTTGACTCCTCGTCAAAGTGGACGCCACTGTCTTTCGCATATCATGTTTTTCAAACACACATCCAACGCTTAAATCGAATATTTATGTTACTTTTCTTTACTTACATCTTGTTTACTTACTCTTTGTTTACTTACTCTTTGTTTACTTACTCTTTGTTTACGTTAAGAACCGTTTGGTTCTTCATGCACTAATAAATGTTTTAATATCAACTTATGGCGTCCATATTAATCGCCCAAAACCCCTCGAAACAACACAATAAAATCTCGTGTTCTGTTATCACATGACCGGAAATAAATTTTCCCGGAAATGAATGTCCCCGGAAGACACGGTAGCCACAATTAGGTTCAACTGATTAAGCAAAGATGACTACATCTTCTTAACCTGTCAGCAAAAGATGACTGCATCTTTCTGAACACAAGAGTTTCCACTAAATTGGTCTTTATAATATAAACACAAATTTGCGCTAGCTTTGACGTTTGCAAACTGATTTTAAAACAAAAAGACTTCGTGTACTGTTTGCCGTCTCTTGATATAGCTATACATTCTATTTGGCTGCATGGCCAGTTCTAGTCAGTGCAATATTCGCGCAGAAATAAGGCTTGTTGCATATAATAATAATATCGCATACAATGATTCATACATAATAGGATGTGTTTTCATTATAAAAATTTAGGTTCAACTGATTAAGCAAAGATGACTACATCTTCTTAACCTGTCAGCAAAAGATGATTGCATCTTTCTGAACACAAGAGTTTCCGCTAAATTGGTCTTTATAATATAAACACAAATTTGCGCTAGCTTTGGCGTTTGCAAACTGATTTTTAAACAAAAAGATTTCATGTACTCTTTGCGGTATCTTGATATAGCTACATGTATACATTCTATTTGGCTGGCCAGTTCTAGTCAGTAAATTCGCGCAGAAATTAAATAAGACTTGTTGAATTATAACTATGATATACAGGATATAATAGCTACCGTATGTATAGCTGCAACCGCAATTTCATATAGCCTACATGCAACATTTGATTCATGCATAATATAGGATGTGTTATTATATTATAAAGAATTAGGTTCAACTGATTAAGCAAAGATGACTACATCTTCTTAACCTGTCAGCAAAAGATGACTGCATCTTTCTGAACACAAGAGTCTCCGCTAAATTGGTCTTTATAATATAAACACAAATTTGCGCTAGCTTTGGCGTTCATTTGCAAACTGATTTTAAAACAAAAAGATTTCGTGTACTGCATGTTTGCGGTCTCTTGATTTAGCTATACATTCTATTTGGCTGGCCAGTTCTAGTCAGTAAATTCGCGCAGAAATAAGACTTGTTGAATTATAACTATGATAATACAGGATATAATAGCCACCGTATGTATAGCTGCAACCGCAATTTCATATAGCCTACATGCAATGATTCATGCATAATAGGATGTGTTATTATATTATAAAGAATTAGGTTCAACTGATTAAGCAAAGATGACTACATCTTGTTAACCTGTCAGCAAAAGATGACTGCATCTTTCTGATCACAAGAGTCTCCGCTAAATTGGTCTTTATAATATAAACACATTTGCGCTAGCTTTGGCGTTTGCAAACTGATTTTAAAACAAAAAGATTTCGTGTACTGTTTGCGGTCTCTTGATATACATATAGCTATACATTCTACTCATTTGGCTGCATGGCCAGTTCTAGTCAGTGCAATTCGCGCAAAAATAAGGCTTGTTGAATTATAACTATGATAATACAGACCTAAAAATATATAGCTACCGTATGTAACTGCAACCGCAATATCATATACAATGATTCATGCATAATAGGATGTGTTATTATATTATAAAAATTTAGGTTCAACTGATTAAGCAAAGATGACTGCATCTTCTTAACCTGTCAGCAAAAGATGACTGCATCTTTCTGAACACGAGAGTCTCCACTAAATTGGTCTTTATATTTTGCTGACAGGTTAAGAAGATGCAGTCATCTTTGCTTAATCAGTTGAACCTAAATTTTTATAATATAATAACACATCCTATTATGCATGAATCATTGTATATGATATTGCGGTTGCAGTCACATACGGTAGCTATATATTTTTAGATCAGTAAATTCGCGCAGAAATAAGGTTTGTTTAATTATAACTATGATAATACAGACCTGCTGTATAAAGCGCTGTATACGTAACCCCAATATCATATACAATGATTCATGCATAAAATACGATGTGATTTCATTATAAAAATTTAGGACAACAGCAGCCGACTTTGCTCTGATAGGACTGATTCGAATGCCTTACTTGCCCCAAGCGTCGAGAACATAACTCTGTCGTGCCAGTGATAACATCTTTAGTCACCCCGGCAAAGAAACGGCGATGCGATACTTGGCGACCATCGTCGTCTCGCAAGTCTTCAAGTTTGACCCGTTTAATCGCTGATGGAAAACACTTGAATGTTTTACTAACAAGCAACTTATTGTATCAATTTGTATGCATACCAATTTTTCTTATCATCTACGTTGTGCGCAAACACTCGCTTGAACGTCGTCGATGCGCCTCGAATGCTGTCTTGGCGTGTATTATATTCGAATTTGGCGCGCGATTTTTGTTTTTATATGACGACCACAATTTGCAATGTGTAATATGAAGTCGAGATATTAAATTAACTAATTCAGTACTAGTTAATATTAAATGAAGTTTGGTTTCAAAGATACTATTACAAATAAGTAGCAAGGTTGGACAATTAATATATGTCATCAGTTCATCAACTTTGACACAAAACTATGGCTATTCTGTGCCAACACCAGAAACGCTAATCCTTTCACACATCGTGCGGATTCTCATGAAAACGTCATATTTATAGATCTTTGATTGACATGTTTACGCCACGCATTTCATACCGCACGGGTTTTCCCTGAGTTTTTATAAACAGGACCTGCATTTCCGGCAATTGTTTTATGGTTGAATCTTCACGAAACAATTACAAATTTTAAATAGACACGCAAATTATATTTGCGGATATATCTTGACTGTTATTTAATGGAGGCCTCTGAAACTAGGCTAAACTATGAAAACAAAGTATAGGATAAACGTAGCCCTGTTGTTTTAAATGTCAGAAACTATTATTAGCTCATGTAATGACTCCATGTACAGACGTCTAATCCCACGTCTTTAAATCCACACATTTTACAGCCTTAATTAATTATTTTCTTTAAATTGTTCTTAAAAGTAATGAACTGTATGAATAGCAGATCTTTAGGATCGTGACTAAAACACCACACGAGTACATACGAGTAACATACGAGTAACACACAAGTACATACGAGTACATACAAGTAACACACGAGTACATACGAGTAACATACGAGTACATACGAGTAACATACGAGTAACACACGAGTACATACGAGTAAAACACAAGTACATACGAGTACATACGAGTAAAATACGAGTAGTAAACTTGTTTTTAGTGTTTGTAGATTGAATACAGGCAAAAAGATCGTCTTCTCTGTCGAAAAACGTGGAATGGGGGAACAGGGAATTAATGGAGGAACGGGGAATGGGGGAACGGGCAATGGGGGAATGGAGGAACGAGGAATCGGAGAACGGGGGAACGAGGAACGGGGGGGGGGCAGGGGAATTATGAATTATTATTAATACATACGTAATATTAATCATATGTACGGGGGGGGGGAAGAACAGAAAAAAGAAACAGAAATTCAACAGGATAAACGGGAATCAGGGAATTACGAAACTATAAAACGGACTCTGGTGTCTTGGGAATTAGAAAACCGCTCAATGAATTAAAACTAGTAAAGAAATTTAGCGAAGCTTTCCTTTATTAGTACAGCGTATCATAAAAAAGTCAATCCACATTGCTTATGTCCGATCATTAAGTAATATTAATAATAATAACATTGCTTATGTCATTACTAATATACTTGCTATATAATAAAACAAACTTAAGGACTAGATGCAAGCCCAAGGCAGTCCTTATGCTCCATATGATATCTTAAAGTGATTATCCTATTTTAAATATCTTACAAAGCAAAACTAACAAAACACAAAATACTTCAAAATACGCAGATTTTAAGCTAGCAATTTAAGTTGGCAAGTACGTTTCTAAAGGACCCAGCCGAACTCTCCTGCAAGCCTTTGGACGTGCTCCACCTTGAAAAGGGAAGGAAAGTCTGGAGGAACGAGAACGTCCCCAAGAAAGCTTGGATACTTTGCTCTGATGCAGGCTGATCGGAAATGAAAATGCACGTTCTGAGGCTCACTTGAAAACTGGATTTGTCCTGCAGGGCCTTTTTTAACATACAAGCTGGGGGCCATTCCCCCCCAGTCTCCCCTTGTGCCCCCTCCCCCACGAAATCACATTTGCCCCCCCCCAAGAAAAAGTCCCTTTTTCCTAAATTTATACAAACAAACCAACGAAGAATAACAAATTGATAAACGAAACGTAAGTTTTAGGCTTTATCCTTTGTCCTTGTTTAACAAAATCGATTTAAAGGACTGTGTCACCGCGTGCGCATCCTACGTGTTTCTAACAATAAGTAATGATAAATTATTGT